CCCGCCCCGAAAGCTACCCTACGTGAGATACACCGACCGACCTACCGACTCGTCCACGCACTCAAAACATCCATCCCCTACCGCGATCGCATGAGAAAGGAGTCCGGAGGGGGGGGACACTACCGCTCCGCCCTCGCCGATCACGGGGACGGCATGCACTTGAGCCTCTCGAACGTCGCCTTCTCCAGGAACTCCCGGTGGTCCGGGTGGGAGATCTGGATGAGCGCGTGCGCCCGCTGCCGGAGGTTTTTCCCGAACAGGTAGGCGATCCCGTACTCCGTCACGATGTAGTGCACGTGGGCACGGGTGGTCACCACGCCTGCGCCTGTGGGGAGTCGAGGGAAGGCACACGAGTCATTATTTTGCCGTTTTTCACGTATGAAAGTGAGCACGATCCCGGGATTAATACGCGACGGGCATTCGCAGATGCTGGGTCCGGTCCGGCAAGTTCGGGAAGAAAACTCCAAAAGTTCCAAAATCGTAACTAACGGAGATTCGTGATTATTCTACCCAAAGACCCTTTACACTCTCGCGACAAAACCAGAGAAGGTCGAAAGACGAGGGACACAAACGAACACAACACGAGGGACACGGGGAAAAGTGAGAGATCCAGGAGAAACTCCTCTCGAGACTCGCAAAGACTACATAAGTGAACCCGATCTTAAGTCCCTAAATCCTCCCTCCTATTAGCCCAGGCCCACCAAGCACGTTACCCTCTGCCGTTCCGACTCTCTCTCGATCTCTCTTTCTTCTCCCTACATCCCCGATCCCCCTCAGGATGGAAGGTTCCACCTTTTAACGCAGCGGGATCCTTCATCGGATCTCTTCTACTGCATCCGAAGGCATCATTCAACCAGTGATGCCTTCGGATGCAGTACAATACACAGCACGAGGCGGCGTTGTTGACGTTGCTTACAAGGAACGAATGAGTTACGACGGCGTCATTGGCCTCGGAACAGCTAGGATTTATGGGTTGGGGTGTCATGATACTCGATCAGGAAAACGGGCTGCGCGATTTCTTAGACGAGGGATTTTCCTTATTTTCGTGAGGTGTGCAACGATCAACCCAGGGTAAAGTTAAAGTGTGGAAGAGTGAGATATAAATAGGTAGTTCGTTTTTAAGGGCGGCAGGTCGATGTGGATCTGGCAGGACCGATGAGAGTCGGTGACGAGGTCAAGGAATAGGGTCATGCACGCTTCATACGCTTCAATGACGTCAGAGCCACGTTTTTATCAACATTTTGAAGATCCTAAAATATATTTTAAAAATTTGAAGCTGCTTCCAGACGGCAAATAATCATGCTAAGAATAAAGATACCCGTTTTCGAACCCCCTCATCCAGGACCCGTTCCGTCGAACGAAACCCAACCCCTTCGACCGAGCACACGAAACGCGAGCAAGAAAACGACGGAGACGGCAGCTGACCTTGCTTGATGAAAGGCACGATCTTGGACTCTCCCTTGCTGGTGGTGGAGGGCAGAGCGAGGATCGGCTTCCCCCTCCCGTCGAAGCCCAGCGCCGCTCCCCGGAGGAAGTCCATCTGGCCTCCCACGCCTGAGGAACACACGCCGGCATGCTCTCAGAGGGGGCGGAAAATTGCGAAACGACGATCGCGGACGATCGCAAAACGCGTTTCGTTGCGAATTTCCCCGTCCCGATGCAGCGATCGACACGGTGCAAGAAAATGCAGGGAAGAGCTCACCCGAATACATCCTGGTGCCGATGGAGTCGGCCACGACCTGGCCCGTCAGGTCCACCTCGATGCAGGAGTTGATCGCTGCCACCTTCGGGTTCTGAGAGATCACGAACCCGTTATTCACGAAGGACACGTCCCCCATCACTGCAACGAATAAAAAAAATGGTAAAAATCATCGGAGAAATCTAAATCGACCCGACGACCCCCCGCGACGACACTCACAGACGAACGGATTGTTGTCCATGAAGTCATAGAGCCTCCTGGTCCCGATCGAGAAGCTCCCCACCAGCTTCCCCGGCTGCACCACCTTCTGGTGATTCGTGATGCACCCCAGCTCCACGAGGTCCACGACCCCGTCGCTGAACATCTCCGAGTGGACGCCCAGATCCTTGTGCCCCTTCAGCGCCGCCAGCACCGCGTCCGGGATGCTCCCGATCCCTGCAGTCGACGAAAGATTCCTTCGAGAACTTGAAGCAAAAAAGTCCGTCAAAGCCCAATCCTTCGAGGCTTCAAAGACCCGCGAAATTAACTTCTCGACGAATCACGAAGGCAATCCTCCGACCCCAAACACGCCCCGACACCTCGACACCAAACGCGAACCGCCGCCCCCCCCCACCC